AGAAAATATCATAATTTGATCTCTTAATTCTGTAAATTGCTCGATGATCAATTTAAAATGAAATAAAATTTTATCTCGTAGACAAGTGCTGAAATTTATATTTTATTCTTAATTTGTATAATACATAAGTAAATTAACTCAATATTTAAATTAGAAATAATATAAAATATTTTTAATTGAATAAAATATTTTTTGAATTAGTAAAAAATTTAAATTAAAAAATTTGGAATAAAATGTGAGAAATTTTTTTAATTTATCATTTAAAAGAATTTTTCTTACTATTAAAATGTAATACATTAAAATTTCTTGTAAAATTTTGATTTAATTTTAAATGTAAAATACGATCATAGATTAGAATATATATTTTTCATAATATTGAAAATTTCAAAATAAAAATGAAATAAAAATCAAAATTTGTAAATTAAAAACTTAAAAATATAAAGATTCTCAATTTTTTATTTCTTAACATAGAAAGAATAATATATTTTATAATATGAAAAAGTGAAACAAATGAAAAATGAAGATTTATAATTACATATGCAAAATATAGAAGAAAAGTTTCCAAATTGTTTACTAAAAAATAATAATGTCTTTTCTCTTTCGTATTTTTTCATAATATTATCAAGAAATTGATATATTGATCATTTTTAATAATGAATATTATGAAAACGTTGTATATTGATCTTTTATAAAGTGTATAGTGAGATCTAATGAGTTTCAAACAATCTCTTTCATCTATATTCACATAAACAAACACACTCTTAGAAAATGAAACTCTAATCATACTTTATGTACAAACACTATATGTAATAGGCTTATCATCACAATAACTCATGAAACCTAATTTAATTTTATTATATGTTGTCATCTATATTGAACTCTTTCTCAACTTTATTTTAAAATGTCAGTGCCATATCAACAAACAACAATGATTATAATTTGAAACATGAATTATATGATTATTATTCATATGTTAGGAGAGTTAGTACATGAAAAATATTATGACCACCCAACATAATGTGTTTTTTTAATTCTATGTAGAGATCATGAAGTATTTTCTACACATACGTCAATCTCAGATACCATGCAATTTTGATGGTATAAAATGAAAATGTTGTAAGTCCCATGGAAAATAATTCTCATTTTGAAACTTTGAAGTAGGCCTCGGCAACGTAAAGTAACCTTTTAGGAATAAATGGTAAATGGATAAAAGGGAGAAGTAAAAGATAAAGGCTGAAGTATAATTAAGGTAACATGTAGAGTAAAGGTAAACTAGATATTTACCAAGTAAACCTTGATTATTGCAAAAGCCCACAACAAAGTTCAGTACGCGGTTGCGTAGTCCGTGTGGTAGACTTTCAAGTTCCAACTCACTTCCAAGTGATAATTTTTTTAATGGTTTTGGATTTAAGTAATCTACTCTCTTCCTTCTCCCTCTTTCGTTCCACCTTACTTCCTCCTTGTTCTACTCTACGAGCACTCTCTCGCCTATTTCGGGATTATCCTCCTTATGCTATTATTGGAATGTTGTAAATAGTGAAGTTTTAACACATTGTCATTTGTTAAGTATACCTTAGATATATAATGAATCTTAGAAATTAAAGATGTGACTTCTCATATCAGATCACACTCGTTTTGAAAGCAAGTTTCGAATACTAGTGCATCCTGTTGTTTTCATCTAATATCAGGTCAATGATTATGTGAGTGTACTTTAAGAGCTTTTGGCCATGCTTCCAACCTGTCATGAACATGTGAAATTTTATGATAATATGCTGATTTCAAAGTGAAATTAAATGATAAAAATCAAACAAACAAAATCACGATTGTGATTCGACTAAAATCAGAGTTGTGATACACATAGAGAATGTGTACCGGGTAAGTTACCATTAGGTAAAGGTAGATAGTAGTGGTGCCAGTAATATAAAAACCATGCATTATCCGTTAACCTTTTAATTACCTTGCAACAGAGGATTTCTTTGAAGTCACAATGCTTCTATTATTGTTCTTATTGCCTGTTCTCAAATAATGTCTTCTTACTATCTTCTTTGCTATCAACTTTCCTCACTAGGTTAGATCTAATGTTTTGATATTACGTTCGCAAGGGCAACTGAATTTGGTGGTAATCTTTTCTCCCCGGATTTGATACCGTGTGACCTGTTTTGACAAGCTGTAACTATCATCTTGTAACTTCTAATGAGGTTCCTTGTTTATTGCTTTACCAAGTTACTGCACAAAGTAGTACCTCTTCCTTGCTGCCGGATGTACATCGCAGGCCTGAGAAAACAATGTAGTCATGTGAATCACCATTTCGGGCTCCGTCAACTTCCCGTTAAACTACAACGATAATAGCGACGGCATTGTCACAAACGCGGGGTGTGTCTCGCGGACCTATGTCGTGCCCACACGTAGCATGGTCTTCGCGAAAGAGGCACCACAAGTTCCCCGGACTCGTGGATCATGATTAGAACTATGATCTTGTCCTGCGGGTCTTTGGCCTCCGTCGAAAAGAAAAGTCAATGAGCTGCTGCGCGTGGGGCCGCCATCCGCAGGATGGCCTTCAATCGAGACCCACGTAAGGACAGCTGTAACATACAGAGGTACATCGGACTACTCGAACTGCGTACTCTGTAAAATTCAGGTACTGCCCACCTGGTGCCTGCCCTGCAATCCTCTCCTCGGATCCTCACGACTCCCGAGATCGCTCCATCGACCAGAATATTTTGACCGTCCATTCGTCATTGCAATAACTTTCAGTTGATATGGTCCTTAATTGGTATGAAGGAATGAATGTTTGAACACTTGATACTGATGCCGTGAAGCCATGTAATGACCTACAAAGGATAGAACTCTTGACTTCACTCGCTGAAGTCAACTGGGCTTGGCCCCTTGACTTCAGCGAGTTAGAAAATGTTCAAAGATCCCCATAGAGTCGAACATGGACAACATAAAATTGGTAGTATAAGTCGATATAAGTCACCAAATATGTGTGACTATTCTATGTCTCTTGATATTAAAAAAAGTCTGCATACCATAGTAGCACCAGACTACATGTAACTTAACGTGATTGACATAGTATGGATCGCAGATCAAGTGTTCCGTTTATTATTCCAATAACTATTTACACAAAATATTAGATTAAAATCATTACACTAGAATAGCCTTGACCACTTAAGATATTATGAAAGTTGATATACATAGTTACAACGCTAGCGTAAAAATGTAAATACTTTTATGAATTTATATATATTCAGCAAGATGAATCATTGTCACTTCCAATTGAAATTTATTAGGCTCTGCTATCCAGTCTACGGAGAGGAGAGTCTTCAAGGCCACTTGACTATGATAAGCGTCTATTTTTCATCTTTATGTTAAGGATAAATTTTATCTGTTTAATTATATTTTATAGAATTTTTATGAAATCATAAAGCAAAGAAGAATTGCAACTTCAAATACCGATGGTATTTTGCATTAATGATTGTAAGATCAAAAATTGTTTCAAGCACAATATCTTTCATCACACACGTGTAGGTATTTCATAAATTTTTAATTTCGACGAAGTAGCTACAAAACCTTCAATCCGCAAATAGTGAATATCCAAATCAGTTAAAATCATATGAAGGATTTTCCTTAGGCAAGTGTGTGGATATAGTTGAATGTTAATTCACGTCGGAGCCGAACCTAACATGATAGTCAGTAGCCATAGTGACAGTTTACGCGGCAGTTGCACCTAAAAAATTGTCTGTAGTCACCATGGAAGTAGCGGTTGCAGTTAGCAAAATCTTACAATACCCACTGTGTTAAAGTGGGGGGCAACACCGAATCTTGTGTTAAAGGCTTATCAAAGACACCCAACAAGCCGCATTTACAAAAGGCACTACGATCGCCCGTGAATGATACTTTTTTAACTATTTCGTTGACAAGTGATCAAGTACCAATTTTCCCTTTTTTTTGACCGAAAGAATATTAAGATAAGTATGTCGAGAATATGGTGACTCGTTAATATCTTATTCCGATATGCTGTGTCTTGTTGCTAGAGTCGAAGAACCGTTCTTCTCCTAAAAGTAGACAAAAACCTCTGGGTAGATATCCATTGAGCTGTGTGCCCAATGAGATTGAGAACGAGAGCACACAGCTCAATGTCCAAGCAAGATTGGCCAGAGAACTTATGATTACAAAGATTGAGAACGAGAGCGCGTCTTGACTAATTCCTGGAGCTTCGATAGCGAGACTTGAAGCACGTCCCTCCGAATATTGATTGGCAGATGCTTTTTTTTACATGAGGAACACATGCGTACAAATCCCACCCAATTCGAGAATGAAATTAATCCCGAATTTTTCTTTTGAAATACGGATATCAGCTACGTGAGAATCATATACATGTGGGCATTCGTCTCCTTTAGATGTAAAATATTCAAGAACCACAAGTCAGATTACTTCTTAGAAAATAAAATATATACATAAATTCACAATGTTATTCTCCACACATCCGCACCTTACATCATTGTCATTATACACCTGAGGATATTTCGATTTTACAGACATCATCGAAGTAAAGTTGATGTAACTACTCTGGGAAGCTTGGATCTCCTCTAAGAACGGAACCAGTCGCAGGAGTTATCGAACACGACATGAAGTCAACAAACGATAGAAAGCAAACAGAATATTGTTTATCCAGATGTTGTCGTGGGGCGCAACAGTGAAAGAATTCTGAATTACATACTTGACTGAATCCTACTGACAACTGTGAAAGACATGGTCTAATCTTATAGAGAGTGGCCAGATTGGCCGCAAAGAGAACGCTCTTATAGCGAGTCCAAAATAGACAAAATAAAGTCTCGTCAGCATCGGACATTAGAACATATTCACTGTATCGTGTGAGAGCCACAGTCCAGTCGAAAGCAGACAGCTATGTACAAGAATTGCAATCTCAGAGCAGCAGCCGGAGAGGAGGCTAGACAAAGATACGCCCCACCCCGGGAGGAGGTGGTCGTGCTTGAATGCTTTAATCAATGGCCGTGGACTTCTCTCTGACTCTGACCTTGGAGCTTTCATGGAGAAGCTCCGGAGAAGCTGCTGGTGTTCGGAGGTCGATCCGGGATCCGGAGATGCTCTAATTTCGCCCGGCCTCGAGCGAGGTGGCGACACCCCAGAAAATCTATCACTTGTCGCTCTGTCGCTCGCTCGGTCCATCGAGTGAGTGAGTACGACTCGCTGACATTCACTCGCGAGGGAAGGTCCGAGATGAGATGAAGGCCAGTTTAAATCATACTGAGCTGGTTGGTTGTGCGGGCCATCCATGGAGGCCCACTCTATAGTCCCTTTTGCAACGAGACCGGTCCCTTTATCGTCGAGAGAAAGAGCGAGAGACAGCCCTATAGGTGCTCGCGAGGAGAGGAAAACGTGCTGTCGTCGAGCAGCTCGCTCCGTGCTCCACTATCTTTCGTGTGAACGGGTGACAGAAGCTTCGAATTCGACTGCTCGACTATGCACCGAAGAATGTCACGACGGGTTTCAGCCCCGGCGTGAGCAGCAAGGAGGATGAAGAATTCTATTGTCGACCGTCGTGAAGGTCCATAGACCTCACCCCTGGGTGGTGTCCAGCGAGGTGTGTGACATGAGACGACGGCAGAGGGACAGTTGACAAATCTCGGAACATGGACTCTGAGGGGTTCCACAATCTGTGAGCTGAGCTCGGGCTCATTCATGCTTCGGAGTCATTGTTGTGGAGAGGCGGGCAGATGAACGTCGTTTGGGGGACAGACCGAGATCTCGTGGGATGACAAGAGGACTGCCGCCGCATGGAAGGAACGGCAGCAGAAGAGGATCGTCGGATTGGTGGAAGTGCTGGATGATGATGGCGCTCCTCGTGCTTCAACACACGACGAGCGAGGTGTTCGGTGTAGCAGTAGACGATGTACTTACCGAGGACATGCCCGACATACAGTGGGCCATGAACGCCGCTCGTAGCCGCTTACTGGACCGATCATTCTCCATGTTCTCCACAGGACCTCCAAGCCCGGACTCGGCACTTTCAACCATTGCGACGGACCTTCCAGGCCCAGAGAGGTGAGTTTGAACCGAGCTCTCAGACACAGCCTTACTGCAATTTCCCCGTCGCTGTCGTCTCGTGGTTCTGCTTCCTACCTTCTGTCCTCTATGATTGTAATGAATCCGATCCACCCCATGGGTTTCATACGGCTCCCAACTATTCGTAAGTTCTGCATTCCAGTTGCTGCCTACCAGATGCTCACACTGAACGTGGTGGGTTCAATTGAGTGCCAATGCCTGCAACTAAACGAGAGTTTGTGCTTGATCCTGATACAATCTGCCAGTCAAATACTCCAGGATTTCCGAAAGCTTATATCGAAGAGACCATTTGGAGTACTGGACGACTGGAATGTGGAGAGGGAGCCAAATCACTGTAAGTGGACAGGAGTCGAGTGCAATGAGCAGCAGCGGGTGACACGGTTGGAGCTGAGCAACGCTCAGCTGGACGGCACGATTTCTCCTTCTCTCGGACATCTGAATAATCTGCAGAGCCTGAACCTGTCTGGAAACAGTCTCGTGGGTAGAATACCTCGAGAGCTCAGCAGCTGCAAGTCCCTTGTGGTCCTTGATCTTTCACACAACAAGATATCTGGAGTTCTTCCTCCGGATCTCGGCAATCTTTCCGACCTTACAGCGCTCTGCCTGTCCGATAACCGGCTGTGGGGATCCATCCCCGAGGAGTTGGGCCGCTTGACTAATTTGGTTGTGCTAGAGATGGAGTCGAATATGCTGACAGGACAAATTCCGTGGCAGCTGGGGAATTTGACGAGTTTGGGCTTCCTGAAGCTGGCGGACAACAGCTTGGTCGGTACTCTTCCGCCTTCATTGGGAAATTGCAGAAAGTTACAATACGCTCTGCTGGGGGGAAATCTGTTTTCTGGTAGCATTCCACCGGAGCTCGGGAGCCTGGGAGATTTGCAGTTTCTTTCAGTATATGGTCGCAGCGGGGACACTAACCAACTCAGTGGAGCTGTCCCGGCCGAAATTGGAAATTGTACTTCGTTGAGGGCTATAGAATTTCGAGATAACAGATTAGTCAGTCTCCCGAGCACCATCGGTCTGTTGTCGAACTTGCAGTACATTCTCTTTGCCAAGAACAGGCTCACTGGCACCCTTCCACCGGAGTTGTGGAACTGCACGAATCTGCAGTGGCTGGACTTCACGAACAACAACTTGAGCGGAAGCATTCCTCCGGAAATAGGGAATCTCAGAGCGGTGACCAAACTGGAATTGGCTGCGAATTTTCTCAGCGGAGAGATTCCGAAGGAGCTGTTCGAGCTCACGAGTCTGACTTACCTGCAGCTGTGGAATAACACCTTGAGCGGCGCAATTCCCCCGGACATCGGCAAGCTCAAACATCTGCAGAACTTCAACATCGGAATGAATCTGATCACCGGTCCGCTGCCCGACGAGATCGGGCTCCTGTCGGAGCTGGAATCCCTCTCCATGTACGTGAACGGCATCACAGGGCCCGTGCCCAGCAGCCTGGGCCAATGCTCGAAGCTCAAGGTGCTGAATCTGGGCACCAACTCCATCAACGGCACGATTCCGATGGAAGCTTTGGGCCCTCTGACGGAGCTGGAGGTTCTCCACCTCGACACGAACTTCCTCGTGGGGGAGATCCCCGACCTGCTGGCTGTGAAGCTGACTCGCTTGAGGTTCCTCTTCCTGTACTCCAACATGCTCACGGGGTCCATACCGCCGTCGCTGGGCACGCTGAGCAACTTGACCGACCTCTATCTGCAGAACAATCTGCTGCAAGGGAGCATTCCGGACTCACTGGCCGAATTGCACAGCCTGGTGACGCTCCACCTCGCCAACAACAGCATGACGGGCTCGATCCCGGCCGCCATGTGGAAGAATGGCTGCTCGTCGCTGCAAGTCCTCGACATCGAGAGCAACCGATTCCAAGGACCTCTGACCCCGTGTCTGGGCAATTGCTCCAAGCTGCAAGTCGTGCGCATGGGCAACAACTCCCTGACGGGCGACATAAGCACCGTGGATTTCAGCCGGCTCTCGTCCCTCATGTCCCTGTCGCTGGCCTTGAACACCTTCACCGGCAGCATCCCCCCCACGCTGCAGAGCTGCTCGAGTCTGGTGCTCCTGGATCTCAGCAGGAATCAGCTCAGCGGCCCCATTCCGGACTTCTCCGCTGCCGCCGGAGGGCTCAGAGGCTTGCAGGTGCTGAGCCTCCGGAGCAACAACCTCACGGGGCCAATTCCGTCGTGGATATGGCGGCTTCCGAGGCTGCAGGTGCTCGACCTCTCGCAGAATTTCCTGGCCGGGAGCATTCCCGGACCTGCGCTCTTCGGGCTCTTGGCGTACCAGAGTCGGGATACGGGGAAATCGTCGATTCGCGCCAATGCCACCAGCAACTTTCTGCAGTTTCTGCTCACCATCAAGGGCCAGGAGTGGTCGTACTCGTACGTGCTGCTGGCCGCCACGGCCATCGACCTCTCGTCCAACAGCCTCACGGGCTTCATCCCTCCGGAGCTCGGCGCTCTCGTGGGCCTGCGGTATCTCAACCTGTCCGGCAACCAGCTCGAGGGCCCGATTCCCGCAATCGGGTCGATGACGGATCTGGAGCAGCTCGATCTCTCGAACAACGAGCTCTCGGGGCCGATTCCTGCCACTCTGGCGGATTTGAGGTCCTTGGGCGTTCTGATTCTCATCAACAACAATCTGTCGGGTCCCATCCCCGGGGGCCTGCTATCGACGCGGTTCCCGAATTCGTCCTACGTGCCGGGCAACGAGGGCCTCTGCAGCCTCCCTCTGACCAAAGAGTGCGCTTCCAATTTTAACCCCAGGCTCACGAACTTCCACTCGCCCGAGAAGAATCCCTTAACTCCGTCGCAGCTCGACGAGCCTCCGATGCTCAGCGGCGGCGGCGGCAATGGCGGCCCCGAGGCCTCTGTGTTCGGGCCTCTGTCGGACACGGTCTCCGTCCCCGCCGTGGCCATCGGCGTGGCGGTCGGCTTCTTCTCCGTCCTCGCAATCATCGTCTTCAATCGCGCGGTGTGGGATTTCATGTTCGTTCTCCCGACTCGCCGTATGCCTACAAGGGTCTACAATGTGCCTTACGGGCTCTTCAGACCCCGAACTTTCGAAGCAGCCCGAGAGTGAGTCCGTGGATTTTTGCATCTTCTGTCTTCTGGTCGTGTATGTCCCCATGTCTGTCTGTCGATTGATCAGAAGGTTTTACAAAAAGATTGGCATTCGGAGTCCGGGGAGGCCTTGAAGGCCTGCAGATATTTAAGCCTACCCTGAACCAGACTGCAAGCGAGAAGACTAAGACCAAGGTTTGCCTGCTGCTCGTCGTCCGCTGTGGAAGGATCTCGCAGCATTCTTGGCACCACTCAGAGAGGCATTGAACAGATTTCGATCAAAGAGATCACGCTATTGTATTGTGAATCCCGAGCGTACCTCAGAATCGGCCGCAAACAGGTCACACAATGGGAACGGAGTTGATCAACTCCTAAACCCTTTCCACCCTCAATCCGTGAGATGTGATGTGAGACCAATCCTGTCTTAGATCGAGAAAGATCGAGAAAGAGCTTTAGCTTAGCGTACAGTGAAAGGAAAGTGGAGTAGAGGTAGAGTAGTATCAAGATGTCTCTGCGGACAGCTGCGATTTGGGGAGGCATTCCGAGTTTCTTTCAACAGAAATCCTGGAAATTGGATGGTGAAAGCTTCACAGATGTTTCCTCGGACCTCACAAGATGAACCTGCAAAACTCTTTCTGATGAGAGAAACGCACATCTTTTGTCTCGAGCGTCTGGACTCCATCATACTCCGTTGATGTGATCACTGGCGATGATCTAGAATGGCTGGTAAGTGGCCTTCACGCCCGCGCAGACCAATCTCGGCTGAGTACTGAATTTGTTTCTGGCCTGAGGGTGTGGATCCCGATCCTCTGTCTCCGACCACTAATTGATTCTTCCATCGGATGGAAAGCAGAGCTTGGTATCAAGTTGAAACCAACCAAACGAATCCTACGAAGTCAACTGCACTGGAGCAACTCCCCGCTGCCGTTTAAGAATGAGGAAATCTAAGCTGAGTACAGTTCCTTCAATTTGAAACAATTGTGTGAAGAAGCTTGCATGGACTGGTACAAAATGTTCATGACGGATGCCAACGAGTAAGATGAACTTGGATGAGATGACCTGAACAGTGAGTTTCATACTTTCTGCTAGCAGATTGTCCATTCCCTCCACCCCATCGGAATGAAGTTCAAGGGCAGAGGTTCATGAAATACATGTCAACTCTCACCGAAGAAGAGAGAACAAGGGCAAGCCTCTGAGAAGCCACGACAGTTCGTTAGACATCTCTCTGCCAGTCAGTCCTGCAACAAATTTGGACAAAGCAAGACCCAGTTTAAACGTTGTATGGAGAGTGTAGACAAATTTTGCGAATGTATCCATAATTTCTTGAGATCATATTGATACACTAACATACCATGCAAGTCCAGTTTTCTAAAATTATTGTAAATTACTTTTAATACTAATTTTCTATACATTCATACACATTGGATAATACTCATATAATGAGATTGAAAATTTTCATACTATTTTATCTAAATACTTTGAAAATTCTCAGAATTTGTTGGTGCGTAATTAGTTCAAAATAGCATCTTTAGACAATGATATCCATTTTTTCATTTAGATTATCGTATAATTAAAAGAATTTGGATATGGTATCAACTATATATTGTTTTGTGTATAACCACTGGTTTTGTTTTGTTTGCATTGATGGGTCTTACCACTTTACCCACATCCATGTGGCGCCGTTTTATGTGTGTGGGCCACCTCTTTTCGCTAAAGAGAACTCGCCGATTGGTTTAGGTTCAGGACACAGTTGGCACGGCTTTCAATGGCCCACATTGGGCAAACAAGCTCTAAGAATGTAGGTGTATATGGCGACGTTCCTTCTCACTGGACAAAGCGGCAGTGATCTTTCTTTCTGGCATATAGACAACAGAGTATGCAAACATTTGTCGTAAGCAGACTGCGAATCTGAAACCTAAAGAACCCTACTTCATTTGGTTGTGGATCCTGACAGCATGTGTCGTTACTGTTTATCACTCGATGTGTTTTCAGTCTAGTGTTTCATTCTCTTCTTTGGTCGAATTTATTGATGGATCAATGTACACGATTTATTATGTAAGTTTTATCAAACCATTATTTTGTATATAGAACATTATGAAAATTTAAATATATTAAGAAATGCATCTTCTAAGTATATTCTACTTAGAAATCTGTTGCAGAAATGAGAACTATTATTGTGTCAATACTTGTTGGTATTTGTAGTCAGCGTACCAAAATGCGGTTAGACATGGATTTTGATCTTAGACTCTTTAAATCAGGAACACATCAAATCGATATTATTCTTTATTTCAAACCGAATATGGATAATATCCGATGAAGTCAGGATGTCACCATCCTTCTATCAACTCACGTCAAGAATATTCATCTCATTCATCACATACATAAATAACACAATATTCAATGAGATCTACTCTCATTTGCATCGACACAAGGATATTCAACCTGCAGTTGATGCTCTCACACACAAGATGAACAAAGGTAAGAGAATGCCACACAAAATTTTCAGAAGCAAAACACATACAACATTGTATTTGAAGCATTTGCCCTTGGAAAACTAAGAATAGTTTTTATAGATATGCACCGAAAATGAAATGAAGGATGTACATGCATAATATGATCATGAAATCAAAGATCACTCAAAATGAGTAATTGTGGAGTCTCGTGAAAATATTGCTTAAGTAATTGTCAAGAATTATGGTGTGAAAAGGGATTTCATTCCTGTCCATGATATCCTATATATATAAGAAGTGAATTTGAAAGGCAAATTATATGATTCATACATCCTTTCTAAAACGTATTGACGAACGAGCAGACCATTGATAAAACATGTACATGAATCATAATCTGGTGTTTAAGATAAGCTAGAATGTTTTTTTTAAGCGTATTGTTTTTATAGATAATATTTAATATGAAAAAGTATCTCAAAATTTGAAAAATTGCAAAAATATTGCTTGTAATTCATGTGGAAATCAAGATTCCTGGATGAAAATAAATTTCGTTAAGGATACAAATCATAGCCCTAATTGTCAATCTTCTCTAATTCAAGAGTGAAAATAGTGGGCATGGACTCCAATATGTAAATGTAATAAAGACTTTAAAGAAGAGGATGATACAAAAAATTTCGTTGCAAGCATTCAACAATCAGCAAATTGTTGAAATCCGAAATATGTAAACTTTACATAGCAAAACTGAAAGGTATAAAAAGATGCTTACCACATCATAGTTAGTGATACTTACTACATCATAGCCTACGGTGTAGTAAGTATCACTAATTACTATCGTATGGAAAATGCGAATGAGGCATGTCCCGTGCCCTCGCCCGCCGGCATGCCTTTTGAGTTCTGACTCCAACACTAATCATAGGTAGTGATATATAGTGATAGATAATTATAGGTAGTGCAGGAGTTAAGTAATTTGTGTTTTAAGTTGTGACTCCAACATTAATTATAGGTAGTGATATTTAGTGATAACTATAGGTAGTGCAGGAGTTAAGTAATTTGTGTTGTTAATAATTACATTTTATGTAACGGCCTATCTTAGCTTTGATAAGTGCACCTTCTTAACTTTTAATGAAACAAAGTTAATGTATAAAATCATGCTTGATTCATGATTCATTAAGTCAACTATTAATTCTATTGTTTGGTTCTTGGCGTTTTGGCATAAGTAACTCAAGCTATACTATTCATGACGTTAAAAGCACAAGGCCTTAATGATTCCACATCACTCAAAGCCTAAAGATTTCACAAAACTTTACCTAACTTCAATGTTCATAAAAGGAAGTCTCTCACATTTATTATCCAGGGCCTTCACTTTCGACGGCGCTCAAGGCCGGTATAAACACAGAAGTGCACCAAAATCAGATGCATTTTCAAGAACACTGTACAGGGCTATGCTGTAGCCTACGTCTGCAATTGCAATTCTGAAATATTGTCATAAAAAAGACTTCAATCTGGAACCCTAAAAGATGTACTTTGGAATTCTGAAGAGTGAGGATGGAGAACTTTGAAATGCTATTATCAGGATAAGATGCAATCACTGCTTAGGATCAAATGTGATAGAAGTTGACTCGTCGACAGAAAATTCTACAACTAGGTAAACAAACTGACCAAGATCTCAGTGACGATACGTGCTAAGGCTATTGTCAGCACGTTGAACCTGGAAATCACATATGATACAATGATATGCATACAAAGAGCCTATATATCAGCAACGCCATAAAATTGAGAGCGCCTGTACATACTGAATCCTTGAGAACTAAAGCTTTGAGCCCTCCAAACTTTGCAGCAAACAACTCAGAAACAAAAATACATCCACTTCTTCATCGTGCCGAGTCCGATGTGCGCTACTTCTGCATGCAAAAGTTTACCAATTCATGCGATATCTTGAAACCAGTGTGACATCAGATCTAACCACCTCGTCCAGCTGCCTCAATCATCACCTGTTTCACTCAAACACAATATGCGGTGCCACATGTTCGTGCGTCTGCTTTCTTCGCCATATCAACTACACTCTTCCGTCCTTGTTCTCCATCTCAAACTTACATTCCAATAAATATAAACAATCAACATGATACTCGACTTATGCTTCATAATCTGACGAGCATTACTTATTTTAATTTTTAGTATTGTGTTAATTTCTTTTTAATTTTTTGAAGATGGAACGTACAATCTAATCTAGTTTCGCATGAGCTATGTTTCAGCAAGGTATGAGTGCCGAACATCGCGGATTAATATGAGGAATTCGCTCCACTATTTGCTCCACTTAAAAATTATGGAATCATTTGTGAAAGACTCTGGGACGTTCGTGTTTCTGGTCCCCCCAGAACCTATGATGTGCAACCTTTGCATGACTTGGACGTGAATGATGTTAATATGTTACTGATGTTGTTCCGCTGATCTAGATTCTCGAAGGTTTTTAAGTCGTCCATCCTCATCTGGTTTGGATATAGAGTATCCATACAACTGAAGAACTGGTGGCGTAGATAACACCCTTAGTTTTTGGTTGCCATTGTAAGCAGTTTTTAAATAGGAGGTGGAATCGGGTCTGATTTGACAGACCGTTATGAGTTCAAGCGTGGCTGAAACTGTTGTGAGAAGTAAATTGAAAGAACAAAATACTGAAACAAATGAAACAATGCTCTCGGATCTCTATGTGAACAGCGCTCCTGAATACTCTCAAAGTAAAAGTATATTAATGAGTTCAGAGGGTGTTACAGTCCCATATTTATATGGGAGCAGTAGGTTTAGTGTAAAACTATATTAATAAAGATTGTCGGTTAGACCTCTTGACAGTTATTAGGATTAGGGTAAACCCTCTCTATTATTAGAAATAATCGATGAGTAGGGTTAGGGTAAAACCTCTCTATTATTGAAGATCGGTTATCTCAACACTCCTACCCGAACGATGGACACCCTCAATAATAAACTTCAAGTAGACTGGAGAAAAAGAGTGGAGTCATCGTTCGCATTCTAATTCAAGTATTGTGTATCAGTTCTGATAAAGTTTGATGTTGCGGAGCTGGAGTAATAACCCACCAAAGGCTAAAACTGCAGTATAGCAGCAGAAAGGTTGAACCCACAGGAACAGAGGCAACACACTGAGTACAAAGTGTCACGTTTTAACAAACTATTGAAGAGTTTGAATTCTCATGCGATTGTCACTCCCAGAAATACTGCAAGTGCTCAACTCGGAGGTCACTCGGAGGACGCACAGTGCAGCGTAGTTCACCCCAACACACACACACCTGAAACTGGAAAAACACAACTCAGAGGCCGATTAGGACCTCTACTTAAGATTCAGGGGGAAATTCTCTCACGAGTACATTCAGAGGATCTGCAGGTAGTGTTCCCCAACTCCGGATTGTTAACTCTAACTGCTAGTTCAGAGCACCCGGGTTGGACTTCCTACTTTGGATGCGGTACCTTCGTCAAACCGAAGTCACTCTCACAAGGTGAACAACACACTCAACTCACAAAACGCGCAGAGAATACAGGAACCGAACTGAGAAACTCAACGGAGAAAAGATCCAGTGTCACACCATAACAGTCTATTGACGAGTTTGAATTTTCAGGCACTAGTCATTCCCAGAAATACTGCGGAAGCTACTTCCGAAAGCGCTTAAGGAAGCGTACAGCCTGAATTGTTAACCAAGGTTTACTCGAAGTAATAAAACTTCACTTTGGCATTCAGGGGGAAAAATCCCGAAGGAGTACAAACAGGAACAATCACCCGAAGGTGTAAGTCCGAACTGCTCAAGTATCTAACCAGTCCACTAGCTCTGAACATTCAACAATCACTCCAAAGGTGCATGTGCGAACTGCTCAAGTATCTAACTAGTCCACTAGCTCTGAACATTCAAC